AAGAGGGGGATGATGGGAGCAGACAGGGATGATGGTCTTGTTTTGTAAGCATGGCTGTGTGTGTTTGTGTGTGTGTGTGTGTGTGTGTGTGTGTGTGTGTTTGACGTGTCCATGTGATTTAATCTTACAAAAAGGCTAGTGTGTGTCCAATTAAGGATTTATCAGTATTTAAAAAAGGTATTTTCTGTCACAATCCACAATTTTAATGTAATGTGGCTCCGCCCACCTGCAATTTCAAAACAAAGGATAGGACGCTCAGTTGACAGAATCTGACTTTGAAATGTTTCTGATGCTGTTTGGTGTTTGTTTACATCAGTTAAATCTGTAAATGCAGCAAGAAAACAGACAAAAGGTTGTTTTTAATCTAGACCTTAAACTCTACAATATGTAAATAAAACGTTAATGTATATGTCGACAAAATACTGATTCCTTATATTGTTTATATACTTTAATATACAGGCTATCTATCCACCGATCTATCACTCCATTACTTTGTTTATCCGTCCTTCCATTTATCTATTTATATTTTCATCTGTCTATCTATCAAATATTCATCATCTCTATCCATACATCCCTCTATCTCTGTCCATTTATCTATAAATGTGTTTACAGATCATCCATCCATCTTTCTAACCCTCTATAATCAATTTATCTATTCCAATTCATCCCTTTATGCATTAATCTATCCATCATCCATTTATCTGTCTATTAATACATCCTCTATATCTGTTTATCTTTCTATAAATGCAACCATCCATCCATCAACTGATCTAGCCAAGTGTCCATCATCCATCTCTCTATCTGTCCATCAAAAAATCTAATTATCTATTCCCCCGTCTATCAATCTATCAATTCATCAATCCGTTTATCCATAGCAACCCATTTATCTATTCATTTTTCATCTACTCATCTAACAATCTTTCATCTAACAAGCAATCTTTATAGCTATCATATATCTATCAATCTATGTCTATTTTGTTGTGCATCCACCTCTGTACCTAGAAATCTTTCTATTGATGTATTGATTGATCGAAATTACAACTAAGATAACATGATAATGAATGTTTAATGGTCTGGACTATACTGGACTGACTACAGGGAGGCTGTGGGTTGAACAGATAAAGGTCCTGATGAAGTGCCTTTGAGCAGTTCCAGAGTCTTGGTCAATCACAAAGTCATGTAATATTTATCATACAGCATTTTTCATAAATTATTTTTACTAGAATACAAGGAAAGAAAAGAACAGTTCTCCTGAATGATTTACCTCCACCTCAGTCAGCATAACAGACTCCTGCTCTGTGTAAAAATCTCCCATGAGTCAGTTCAGTAGGCAATTTGATGACTTGTTTCCCTCCATAATTACTTGATTTCTAACAGGGGACGTTCGCTCAATACTCGCCCTAACGAGGAGGAAGTGCTGCTCCTCAGCTCCCTTCTGTCTCCACCCTCTCACATCTGAAGCTCTTTGCGGTGCAATAATCACTGACTGCTTCCATATTCATCACCCCACTGGGGATTGAACCAACGGTCTTTTTGGATGCGAGGCACTGCTCTGAGCCATCTGAGCCACACATGGGACAATGTATGAATTTATATCCTCTCAACGCTCAACTGCTGCCCTCATAAAACCAGGTCCCAGACCTATTTACTTGTCTGAGGGTTATGTGCAGGGTTTCATAAGACCAATAAAGGTTACTTGAAGAACCCCTTTGTTTGTGAATTCTTCTGGGAATACTAATATGGTTTTCAAGGCGACCTTCAGATCTTAAAACCATTAATTAAGAGTTGATTTGTAGAGAACTATAAGTTAAGTACACTTATATGAGGAACCCTAATTACAGTAACTAGACATTTAAAGTCAAAGGCAAGTAGACTTTTCTTTAGTCTTGAAGATGTCTGACACTCCTCAACGAGGCTTCACAACTTGCAATAATTTTTTATTGTCTTTCCAGATATCCAATCTTCATACACATTGTCTACAATCTAAAAAATACTGGATCTAGACAGATATCCCCTAAAGGTAAAAGGACTGCCAAAGTCTTTCAAAGAAATTAATCCATATCTTGGCAGAATTAAACCTACTACAATGAGTTTTTAACTCATTATGAAACAGTCGCAAATTAATACAGATGCCTCTACATAGACCTCATAAAAAACAAAGACATTAGCGAGAATATTTCTATATAGTTATTCCTAATGCCTGTCACTGGTCAGATTCCCCTTGAGTTCAATGAAATGAGGCAGCAGAAACACAACCACTTTTATCTACAGGGGCTGCCAGAATCAACACAAAATTAAAGTTCCCTGGAGGGGTTATAACATACTAGGTATACAGATGGATGGAAGTGAATTTTGGTGTAGACTCTTCATTTCCTATATTTCCTCAAGTGACTTTATAGCACAATAAAACACGCCCACATCTCAGCACAATAACAGATCACTTTATGATCCTCAAAAGACACCACACTAGAAAAGGGCAGTAACAAAGTTTTTTATAAAGTTTATCCCCTTTCAGAACTCCAGAAACCTTCACAATCAGGACACTCTTCAGGGAACAGCTTATTGGACATTTTTATAAGAATATCGGAGGTGTTGATTGACTCCATTAGGATGTAAGAAGCTTTCACACACCGGCTCATTAAAACAAAAATATCAGCTCAATGCCCCATTGCAGTTTTTAGCTTATAGTCTCACGAACCACCTGCTGCGATCACCTTCACCTGGCCTTCAGACAGTGAGCTACTTTTAGATACTGGGGGACTACTGAAGGTTTCTGGGCATCGACACGTCGATAGGGCTGCGATCAGTAAACTGGCTCCATTAGCCTTCAGCTAAATTCAGCCTGCAGATAATTTTACACTCAAGTGTTCCTCCACGAAAAACCGTCTTGCTATTAAAACCTTTTATTGATGACAAACATCCATTGATGAGCTTTTGATAGCTTACTCTGGCATGTTAAAGGCATACTATGCAGTTTTCCGGTTTTGTCAAACAGCTACCCCTAGAGTCGCTGCGGAGTACTTGTATTTAACATTAACAGTCGTAAATACCGCTCACCAGAACCGTCTCTATATACGGCTCTGGGTCTCTGCACTCACAGCATGATCCCCTCCCCCCTGTATACTGGTACATGTTCAGTATGATGGAAGCGTCGGACATCGAACAGGCAAAGATAGACTCCGAAGATGTCTACTGACCAGGTAACGTCTTCCATTGAGGCTGCTTCTTATGTCGCTGATGTATGTTACGTCGCACCGTAAAGCAATTTGTGATTCTCGCAAGATTAGGCGGGCCGCCATCTTCAGACTTGCATTGCTGGTTCTGCCAGCGGCATCCCTCTCCTGCTTTGCTATCAGTATGATTTGCTATACTACGAGTTCGTTTACCATCGAAATTACTTCAAAGCTGTTATATTAAGGTACAAATCTTGCATAGTGTGCCTTTAAGTGTAAAATAGATCACTCTTTGCGCTTAATAAGGTTGTTTAGAAGATTATTGGCAAAAACAGATGAGTTAGGACAATGTATTTCTACTGTATGAATACTAATTGTAAACGATCGTCATCTGCAGAATCGTTGCATTGCTGGAAGTCATTTGCACCTGACTTAAATTCAAGTTTATGAAAGAGACACTGGGAAGAGAAGAAGAAAGAAATAAACTTCAACACATTCAGGATTGGAAAGAGTGAAACAGTTGACACATGGATGCTTTTATCCAAGTGCTTTCCATTACATGTTGTATTATTTAAAGCAATGAGGAAATAGTTCAAGAATAAATAAAATGCTCTAAATTTAGATTAGGGGCAAGGTCCAGGGGATATTGATCTTGGAATGTAATTATGAGCAATTAATTTATTCTTAAAACTAGCCGCAGCAACAGAGAGAGTACTGGAAGTCCTCACCATGCTTTTAAAACTTTTTCATATTACGTTTTTCTTCTTCTCAAAATCAGGGGTCTAAGAATAGAGGGTGTTGTATGTCATACAAATTGTAAAGCTGCCTGGGACAAAGTTGTGATTTTGGGATATGTAAATAAACATATGTAATGTCACATATGTAAATGGTTGTTGTGTCTAATGTTATTGATGAATGCATTCAGATAGATGGATTAATTAAAAAGCAAAGCATGCTTGTGAACTCATTCCCTACAAATTAAATATGAAATTCTTAGCCAACACCCTGCTGACCGATTAGAAGACTAATTGAGTAAGACGAGGACAGGCTGAAGAGTTGCTGGTCAGATCACAACCATCTGAAAGATTCTTGGTGTGAGATCTGACTAAGAAACATGTGCCCCTCCTACAGCTTCCCTTCAGCAAGGAAGTAAATACCCCACCATCCCGGTTCAGCTGATCAGTTTTATCAGAGGGACTGTATCAGTGTTAAGCAGGGTGGGGTTCTGATACAGCCAGAGTTTGCTGAGATAAGGTTAGAACTGCTGACTCATACACAGATTTCACGTTCACACACTACAATGATTTAACATAAACCTGTGGTGGTTGGGTTCCTGCTTTAATGAAACTGAACCTAAAAGAAATTACTTGTCTGCAGTTCACATGCTTGTAGTAGTTTCGTAGTTTCTTCCAACTTCTTTAACATTTTATCCAATTTTGCTACATTTGCAATTACTAATAGATAAATTGATTATCCATCATATTGGGACATGGAAATCCGGAGTAGATCAAAACAAACTTTTTGTTGCCTGTATAAAGCTGCTGTTTGTTTGCAACTTTAAAGTTTGTAATGAAGTTACTCTCTGCACCAGTTCTTTCATTTTCAGTTTCAAGGACACTTTGTGAAACATTTTAAAAGATACTTTCATCTGGTTCTGACTCAGGACCTCCTGAACTAGTTTCTAGAAATCTGGGCTAATGATCTGTAAGATATGTTAAACAGCATTACATTGAACTTCTCCCTCAACAAAACCACCAGCAGTTCTCTCTTCATGTGTTCCCTTTTTGGGATATTTCTACACATGTCGAAGGTGAGCTCCCATCTTACCTTGAAGCTGTTTAAACCTCCCTTCCAGCTGGTTGTAGTTGAAGGCAGCCTGACCCGAGAATCCGGGGCCGGGGCTGGGCCCCCTGATGGGGCTGAGACTGGGGCTCGGACCCCGGCCGGGGCTGGCATGAGATGGGCCACCCGACGATGGGGAGAGGGGGCCAGCATAGTCCAAAGTTGGGGAGATAGGTCCGGGGGAAAGAGGGCGTGGGAGACCGCTGGTGGCGCTCTGAAGCTCCATGATGTGGACGAAAGATTTAGACAATATGAGTCCACAGAGGCATCGAGAAGAGACTCAGCAAAGAATTTTCAAAGTTTCCAAGTGGATGAAAGCTTTTCCAGTTGAATCAAATTGTCTTCAAGAGAGGGAACCTGAGGTTGAGGTTCTCTGCAACAGCGTGTAGCTCGAGTTTCACCAGGATTAAACTGTGTCCAGGAGAATGAACTTGAGTTCCAACAGGATAAACTTCTCTGGAGCAGTGTAAAGCTTGAGTCTCTGACAGGATGAACTTATGTCCAGTAGAATAAACCTCAGTTTCCAGATGAATAAATGAGCTTTTAAGACGATAAAGTAATCTCAAATGATTTCAACCTGAGTTTCAAACACTCAAACAGCTTCTAATATTGTAAAGAAATAATCCAGATTCAGCAGTAGTCTCCACAGAGACACTTCCAAGACAGCAGGACTGAGCGATGGAGGACAAGTGACATGCAAGATGAACTGTCCCTCTCTTTCTCTCTCTCTCTTTCTATGTTTCACCAGTGTGGAAGCAGAAATCGCTGGCTCAGCAAACGCACCGTGGCAACGGCAGCATCATGCTTCTGTTTTCTCTCCATCCATCCATCTGTCAGTGTCTTCAGATATCACACCTTCCTCTCAGTCAGGAATCCACCCATCCTCCATTCAAACACACATATACACACACCCTCCCGCCCGCAGAACCAGCACAATGAGAAGGTGGAACCGAGAGCGCTGCAGTGAGAGAAAGAGTGCAGGAAGCAGAGGGAGAGATGGAGGGAGGTAGAGAATGAAAGCGTGGGTTTGTCCTCCAGCGTGCAGCAGCAGCAGCAGCAGCGGCAGCGGCTCTCAGACACTGAAAACACCTTTCAGACAGAGGGAGAGTCAAGGGGGGAGGGGCCGGCAGCAGGAGCAGCTACTCCTCCCAGCAGCCAATCGCAGGCCTTGATTTTAGCGGTGATGTCATTGACTCGTTAGCATAAGGGGCGGAGTGGATGGAGGGTGAGAGAGAAGGACAAACAGAGAGAGAGCTCTGTGTGTTTCTGTTCACACTGAAGATTAAATCAGTCAGAAAAATGACATTCCTGTTAAAAAGCTGTTTACCACAGATAAACTGAGGAGAACCATACAATGACTGAATAATTGGAAGGTTTATGTTTTTTGATTGCTTCTACAATAAAACGTTCTGAAGAAGTAAGAAGAAACTATGGATATGTAAAGATTATGCAGAATTTTGATAATCCCCCTCCATCGAAATTTTATGAAATTAAATTACATTTTAAAATTACAGTGTTAGAATATGTTGTATGTTTACTGTTGTAAAGTTTTTAGCTTTCATGGACATATTAACAGAAAAAAAGGACAAAGTCCATATATAATACAAAGTAAGATGTTACTCTTCCAGGTTTGTGGGAATCTCTTATCTTCAGGTTAAGGGTTAGGGTTAGGGGAAAGAAATTGGTTCAACTTGACAGAAAACTGCTGCAAAACTCCAAAATGTCTTCATGTGCCAAACTGAAATATAAATATTATGATCAGGAACAGGTTTAATGAACTGTGGATGCTATAGTTATAGTTAAACAACTGAAATGTTGCTTAAAAACTGCAAGTGAAGTCAAAGAGTCCTGACTTCTTGTGTAAAAGATAATTTATGTTTTTACTAAATAAATATGAATAACTTCTTTAACTGAGTGTGTAAAATGTACCTGTAAATTTTCCATGGTGGAAGCAGACTGAAAGACAACTCACAGATAAAAGTATAAAAAATAGAGGAGATATCATGTGAAAATATTAATTTGAGTTTATCTAATTCAACTTGACACTGAGGCAACACAGCTTCTCCATGCCAATAAAGCTAATAAATAATACTGTGTGTGCAGAGGGGACGAGTAGCACGAAGAAAAAGGAAACAGGGTGGGGTGTGTGAGTGTGTGTGAGTGTGTGTGAGTGTGTATTTGGCTCAAGACTTTTTGTCCGAGCTCATCGCTCACACGCAGACGTCCAAACATCCTGAGAATATCTGAGCTCTAATATTAGACCCTGTTGTGGAGATGTTCTTCCTGTCTGAGCCCGGCCAGCACTTCCTGTTTGATCCTGCTGTCCATCAAACACACACACACACACACACACACACACACACACACACACACACACACACACACACACACACACACACACACACACACACACACACACACACACACACACACACACACACACACACACACACACACACACACACACACACACACACACAGGTTTGGGAGGAAGGTGAGGGCGGAGGAATGATGAGGATGTTACAGAGAATACTGATTGGAGGGGAATCAGCTTCACTTCCTGCATAACTGACCAGACGCAGCAGCAACAGTGAGGAGGTGAAAGTTCAGAGGTAACGACACTAAGACAATACAAGGAACAAATATTCATGTGACCCTCAAATAACTGCATATGACAAAAGACTAAAACAAAGTATTTGACGAAATGAAAAATGCACAGATAAACGCTTTGGCCAATAATGATAACCATAAGCTTTAAAACGGAGCCTGCTAAAGCATAACACATGAGGCTTCTCTTTACTTCTCCTGCTTTCGTTAACACTGAATTCAAGTCAATGACCTTAACTTCCTAAATCCCAAACATGATCTTTGACCTCCTGATTAAAAGGGCGGCAACTCCACCCAGAGACTGTTTCACTTTTACTCACAGACTCATCCACTGAAGTAGATTATTCACAGACAGGATGAGAGCAAAGATCAAGCGGACAACAAGTAGAAATATCGTGAAGGGCCACTTCCTTTTCTGAAGTCATTTTATTGTTAAGACTTAAACATACAGTAAGGGATCTGATCAAATATAGTGATAAAAAACTGTGTGCGTCATTGTGGTGAATTTTCATTATAAGGATAATTGTCAATTTCCTCACATGACTGGCTTGAAAAAGTGGTCTCGCTACAGTCTTACAATGATTTCCCAATTTATTCTGAATTCCCTCACGAGAGAGTCACACCCCAATAGTAATCAATGAAATATCTTAAGCATAAGTCAGGCATAGCTTATATAGTAAAAAATGTTTTAAGTTAATAGGGCCAGTGTGTAGGATTCAGTAGTGTAATTGCAGATTGCAACTTCCTCGCTTCACCCTCCACTTCAAGTATGAAGGAGAATCTATGGTTGCCGTGACACGTGCAGAAGACGTGAACATCCCTATCTAGAGCCAGTGTTAGACCCTGCTGAGGCTGCGTTACCACCTGACATGTATAGGTCTATCCTGATTTGTTAAAAATGATGTTAAAAGTGGAAACAGCTTCAGCTCCTAGATCACCACCATTACAAGCAGTCATCAGTACAGAGGTCAAAGGTCAGAGGCCACAGCAAACAGACAACAGATGGACCAAATATTTCTGCAGCTGATGGAAACAGTCAGAGCGGTTCTTTATGTTCTGTTGATAATGTTTACATGACAACACATTCTGTCCTGCCGGCATGCTGAGCGTCACGCCGTGTTTCCTGCCGTCATCTGGCATCCTCGTGGCTCGGCCCCTCAGGGCGGCCCCGTCAACGAACCAAACGCACCATTCATCCAGCCGGAGCAGAGTCAGACCACTGACACTGCTCACAGTGCATGCCTCGGGGACGAGAGGCTGCCAGTTTACTGTTTTACTGGCTGAAAAGCTGAAACATATCACTCCTGTTACTAATCGCATTATCTGAAGTCACATCTGCAAACATTCAGCAACGAAACGATACAAGAAGTCCAGAACTGGTGGTGAGTTCAGGGTTCAAATTTGTGACGCTGCAGTGGCGAATTTCACACAGACACGCCGCCTCACCCTCCTGACCACACAAAGACATTCCTGTGAGGTCAGAGCACCAGCAGACAACAGGGCCAACGGCGGCCATGTTGGAGGAAAAAACAGTCCGACTCCAAGACGGTGAGCGCTGTTTTCCTGTCCACTGCAAGAAATGAATCGCTTTTTCTACATCTGATCTGAAACTAAAAGATGAAATAATTGGACAACGGGGGATAGAGGAGACACTTTACCTCCCAATTACATTCCCTCAAAGATAATTTTAGTTCAAGCTCAATTTTTCTACTTCATTTTAATTCCAACTTCCTCATCTCGTCTCGTATAGTTTCCATTGTTAGTTTAATTGAAGTAGTTGCTGTTCATTATGTACATTTTTTTAAAGGTTGTTCTGTCTTCCCACAATTTGATCAATAATCTAAGCAAGGAAGGAACGAATGAAGAAAGAAGGAAATTAACTGAGAAAAAAAGGACAATAGGGTGAACCAAAGGAGAATCCGAAGAATAATAATTAATAAAGAACATTAGACGACAGAAGGGGAAAAAAAATTAGAAAAAGAAGGATACAAGGAAAAGAGAGAAAGGAGAACAGAAGAGAGGAGGAGACAGGAGGACAGAATAAAGACCATTCTTCTTTACTTTCACTTTCTGTGATGTTTTTAAAAACCACAAACATTAAAAAAACAGGCACACCAACATTCCCAACATTCCACCATCTGGTCCTCTGAACAGGAAGTGAGACTCATACACTGTGTGTGTGTGTGTGTGTGTGTGTGTGTGTGTGTGTGTGTGTGTGTGTGTGTGCTCGCTCTGTGGGGAACCTGGACTGTTCCTGGTTCTAATTATTGAGCGGCTGAGTGAGTCGTCGTCACTTTAAAGATTCAGTCCAGATTTTTCAAAACTCCTCTACATCAATAGAAAGTACTGTGACACAACTATTTCTGGACAGCAGATAAACATATTTCCCAAAACACCGAACTATTCCTTTACAGCCGACACTCAACTCCCTGCATGACAACTTCCACACCATACTTAATTATACAAATACAGACAATCTATAGTTAAATACATGCAAAGCCACCTGTACGCTTCTTTAAACCCACACAGAGACTTCCAGTGAGTCCTGCAGCTTCACCTCAAGAACCATCAACACAAACTGGCGCCAACACTCTCAGTATGGAAGATACCCTTTTAAAATCTCGCTTTTAGAAATGTGAGCATGTTGTTCTACTGCAGCTGCAACAATTAGTCAAATTGTTGGCTTATTATCTATTTTGATAATAGATTAATTTGCCACAGAATTGATGGTTCCAGCTTCTCACACGTGAGAACTTAGAGTTTTTGTAAATTGAATGCCTTTGAGTTTTTGACTTCACCATGGGAGTCTTGGAAATTGTGATTGTTGTTTTTCCATTGACAGTATATAAAATGAACATAGCTTCCAGGTCTGTGAAGTGAAGCAGGTGGTGAACAGGGCAGTGTCTTAAAGCTGCATTCGTAATGGCCAGCAAGGGGAAGCTCCTTTGGTTGCAAAAAGAAAGTCTGCTGGAGAAATGACCCGACTTCTCCCTTGAGTTATGAGCTCAGTCAACAGTTTCCTGATGAGTTTATGGTCTCAGTCTCTAGTTTCAGTCTTCTTCCATACAGCATGATGTTCATTTAGTAAAGGGTCCCATTGAGTCCGTCCAGCTCAACACACCAAACTCAGATCAAACTGTCAAACTAGGCAGTGCTGATCAAATATGAATCAGGATTTTTTTTTTACTATTTATGCTACGGATGAGTCAAAACTGAACGCAGCTCAACTCACAGCACGTCACCACTGCTGGCTGCAAAAAACTGACATGGAGATGGCCATAATACCAAACTTGAGACTTCAAAACAGTACTCCACCAACCAATGGGTGATGTCACTCTTAGTAAGGTTTTTCACAGTTTTTTAATTACCTAAACAATTAATCGATTAACAATGAAAATAATTATTAAGTGCAACCAAACTTCTCAAAT